GCCGGGGTGTTTATGGCAACTTGCATCTCAAGACGGTGGCAGGAGGAAGTGGAGGTTCCTGAATTACGAGCAAACTAACCAAGGATCCCCAGCAAAGAAGCGTAAGTATGGACGAATATGATGCGACGTCGGCGATGATCTTTGGTAAAAGATCAGATAAGATAGACATGGCAAAACAGCGAGCAAGCTTGGTGAACTCTGCAAAGGTTAACGCCGCTGAGCAAGGATCAGACGGCCTTACTACTGGAAATATGCTTGCCATTCCAGCTGGCGTCACAAAAGGTGGAAGCAGCCGCAGTTCAAAGTCCAGTTCATTGCTTGCTAACTGGGCCGATGCAGACCCTTGAAGACGCTACGCATTTTTGTTCCGTGGGATCGAGGCATGGGTTCGAAACGTCCAGTCTCGCCTGGGCCGATGACGGCTTTCTGCAGCCCCCGTCACCCAAGCTCTTTCACACCGTTCGGACACGACGTCAATGCCATGGGTTGGGGGCAGAGAAAAACCTGACCAGCACAGGCACAGGACAGGAACGCACAGAGTGCGGCGAAGAACGGCTTTGGTTTGACGGCGCCCACGCCAGAAGAGCCGATCACTCGAGCCTCGCAATGTCGTTCGACGAGAAGGAGGGGCAGTCCCGCAGAGAAGATGGAAGGTGGTTGGCAAAATGCTGATGATTGGAGTGTTGATGGGCGGCGAATACCTCGGGCTCCATTGTGGAGATGAGGGAATTATCTGATGATCTGATAAACCGGATCTGATAAGATCTAATTAGCCAGCTTACAGTAGCGTCGCGCACCAAACTCAAGTTGACTGGTTACCGACCTCCGAGCGGCTCAGGGGTCTTTTAGCACTAGATGGCCCCTGGTGCAGTGGCAGAGTGGTGCTCCTGGTCGCAACCTAACCCCTGCAACAATTATGTATGCTGTGTTTTTTCTTCTTGGGGACAGGTACCGACCGAATGAGCGCGAGCAAGCGGAGGGCAATTGTGAATGGAAGAAAAATTTTCTTCTCTGGTGAACAGAAGCTTATCCCTGCTGGACCATGGCACAGGCTGCTTCTTGACCTATAAGCGCAAGCACTTGGCGTTGAATCTCCATCGGTTGATGAGCTGTCTAGAGCTGCATTTGCTAACAGGGTCTCTACGCCTCTGGGAGATAATCGGGCTAGCGGGTAATAATTTTGCAGAGGTCCATCGATTGACTGATTGATTAGATGCAAATGCGCCGGAGAAGCCTTCCATCTCAGACCGATAACGGTGCTTTCCGACATACATTATCCATACAGCTGGGATAGGCCAGCATCGATGTTGCAATGACAGAAATCATGGAGAGCAGATATGCAACCATGGGACGACGCGACTCTGGAAATACCCGTAGTATGGCTCGATATGATCGGCAAAACCGTAAGATGATGCGAATTGCGGGTGACGATGTTGCTTTTTCTTCGCCCTGTTGGACCCCTGTTTTCGTGACACTTTGCTGTGCTGTGATCTAGAACACCAAGCCAAGCCAACGCTCCGGCAGTACCTGTCCTCACGGTTGGTTCGTACATCAAAGGATCTCGTACCCGTTTGCGATCCCGTGTCCGAGGGTCCAAGTAGTACCTACAGTAGCCTCCCTCATGTCGTCAAATTATCCCAGCAATCGTCAGTTGAAACCCATGCCATAACCAGACACCTTAAGCGCTTCTGTCACCATGCACGTGAGAGGCAAAGCTTCTTCATGAGAAAAAGCAGAAATTTACGGGCAAAAGCACTATTCAGCACAGTGAGAAGCCGCTTTGCCTTGCCGAGATCAGACTACAGTGATACCATGACAATGCATGCTCTAGCTGGAATTCGAACATGGGAATGAATGCACATGAAGCATACGAGGTTCGATCGAATTCGAATGTTGACTTTCCGCACAATGAGCGTGTTAAGCTTGCAGGTTTGGTTGACACCATCTCACCTTGGCCACCCCTAGACTTGGCCTGAAGCTACGCCACAGGCTGCTCGAAAAGTTTCTGGCGGCTATGTTTAAAGGAGGGCGGCTTTTCTCAACTTACAGGTGGTCAAGTAGTTTAAAAGATCTTGTAATTGACCAAGTCTATTAACAGGACTTTCTTGACTTCCTGAATTACATAGAAATCACATATCAATTGAGTGAGCATGCGTACGGTTTCAACGTCAGGTATCCGTAAAATCCTGGCATCGACCGGAATTTTTCGAAGCGAGAGCCGTTGAACAGGTAGGTACATGGGAGGCCAGGGGAGAGTACATCATTTTCATTTACGTGTACATTAGATTATCTGATTAGATCCGGGATCAAAAGATCGGCGGGTTTTTAGCACTCAATACCTTACTTAATAAACGAAAGCAAGTTGCAGTCGTCGAGGCACTTGGATATTTTCGACGAGCATGAATAGGGAGTTGATCAATATGTAGTCACATAGCAGAGAAAATAGGTGGCAACGATATCGTCCCACTCAAGATTAGAATATCTCAACACCAGAACAGAATTGACGTTGAGATATGGTCTTTGAGAATATTCATTCAGGGTAGCAAGCTCTGGGCTTCGATGAACGATGAGTGAGTGCATTGACCCATTCCGAGGAGCAGTACTGTACGGTAGTGGTTGGTCATAACCCACACCCTCCCCCCCATTTCTCCACCTGCACCTTGCATCATCAAACGCCAGGGTCAGAAATCCACCATCATCACCGCCGTCCGCTTCATCGGGCATCGCATCATCACCCTCAACATTGCCCATCTAGCCCGTTTGCTTCATTCAAGCCGCAACGGGATCAATCACTCCGCTAGTGGCGATTCTGACTCGGCAACAAACCTGTCGTTTCGTTCGTGCTGTGCTCTCGGAGGTAGCCGTCAACCAGTCTGTCACAACCACAGGCAACAATCTGGAAGGTGATATTGACCTCACGGGTCAGGCATTTCTCCATACCTAATCTCGGCTCGGTGTCCGCACTGCTCTTTTCCGCTTTATTCGTTTCAGCGCCGTGCTGCCGCTGTCGTTAGCTTCGCTCTTCTCCCAAACCGTCATTCCCTCGGGAATCCGAGCCTGCGCCGACCGAATATGCGTTTTCCCATCCAGTCACTTTGGGGTTTGCCCTCATGGAAGACTGAAGTGCCTCTTTTCCTGCTTCCGATTCCAACTTTGCTCACCTCTGCTTCGCCTGGTCCGGAGGCATAGCTGCTTCCACCTAGTTGTCCCAACCTTAATCCATCGCTTCCTCTAGCCAGTCGTCACAGCCTTTCTCTCACCCAATGCCCTGCGTGGCACATTCACGCTGTGTTGATGGTTTCATCGTCCTCACCAACCCAATCTAACCCAAGCTCCATCTCGTAGATAAGGTAAAATGACATACAACGTTCTCCTAATCCCGATCAATGCACATGCCATGCCCTTCAAAACTCCTCTCGCTTGTTCTACTCCCCCTCTTACACTTGGAAACATCAACATTTCCGGAAACCTCCCACGTTGACTAATATCGTTTCACTATCATGGTGTCGTGATCAACGTCATCCCACGTTTATAACCCTCTCCCGCCATTGCCCTTGGATATTGGAAATGCCCTCTTTATGTTGGCTTCGACCCTGCTTGATCTCATCACCCCGTGACTCAACCTGCATGAGTCTATTTAGTTACTATGGGTTTTACAAGATTCGTTGTGTGCGATAGCTCACGGGAAGACGGATACCTGGACAGCACGCGTTCAAGCTCTCATGCCATTGTCCCAGACAAGACTATTATGTGACTTAGACAACACGCCTAGACACTGGTTAGTAGGGCCGAAAGTCACTGGTCAAGTTGGGGTTCCCCTTTTATCGCGGGTCGACCCGTCGAGGATCCCTTGTCCGCATTACCAAAAAGCAACACCGATGTCGACGACCCTCAACCCTCCCCTCAACCCGCATGCCGTCTTTCGGGTTGCTCTCGTCAGCCACGATCTCAACGTTATGCCTAGCTTCGAGAGTTCCTCTAGCGCAGCGTCTCACATGCAGCGATTTGTTTTACCTTACAACCGCCATAAGCCTTCACGTAATCATTTGCTAGGCACCTTGGGGCCGTTGAACCTTACGTCGAGCTTCCTCAGGTGCCAAGAGAAATTAGCCTTTCCTTTTGGGGGCTGGCTTGCCGATCTGATTCGCAGTTATGATCAATCAAGTTACCCAATGTGGACGAATGGATTTTGTAATCCAATGCCCATGAGAACTATCCCTTGGCAAGAAATTCATCCTCGCTTGAAGTTACATACAAGGCTATGCTCTTGTTGAACCAAGAGGCTGGACAGGTCTATTATTGGTGTTCGAGTGAACTTTGTCGTCATGATAACAAGATCAAGTTCACATAAACCGAGTCGTGACGCAATCTATTTTGAGCGGCTGCTCGCTCCACTGCTCATTTGACGCCGAAACTCAGGCATCCTGTGAGACATCACGCCGTTTGAATAAAAGCACCACTATCCCACGCACATGCGCCATATCCTGGTGCGGTTTTGGCATAAGACCAACGAGGTTGTCTTGCTCCCCACGCCAGCCACGGCCAGAGGTCCACCATAGATGTGCCCAAAACGGCAATCCAGGTATCTCGGCTCACACCATTGCACTTCAACCCTGACTGCACCACATCATTCATCATGGGTCGCGGTTTTAATCTACCTGGGGGCATGTCTTGCCAGCCCACCCTTTCAAATAATAGCTGTCTACTACCCACCCACCGACAGCACTCACAGCCGGATCTTACTTGTCCCTGTCATCTTCATGAGCCGATGAGTAATTACTCGACGCTGACAGGCTGGAATACAGCTGCTTCCACACGCCCCCCTTGGACCAGGTGAACCACTTTGTACGACCGTCCACGCCTCAAGCTTGCCTTTGACGAATCATTGCGCCGCCGATTCTAATACGGCATGCGTCCGTTTGCTTTGCCGTCATTCCAATTCGCAGCTCCCGTGTTTTGGACCCCGGCTGGCGTGTACATCCTCCGAGACTTGGTTCCGCATGGTCGTGAAGCGATCCAAGCAGCCTGATGTTAGTCCACACAGTTTTAGCTAATAGCATGTTTGCCTGTAATTAATGCCCCAGGATGAGGCTTTTGGCGGACCAGTGCGTTCCCTAAAAGGGCCATATCTTCTACTCCGAGTGCACACCTTCAACGTCACCGGTATTGTCGCCGGCTCTGAATGTTACCGGCGCCGTATGCCCATCGAGACCACCCTCCTCATTATCACTATCCATTACACTTATTGCCCGGCTACGCCATAGTTCTGACTAACACACTCCCAGACCACCAAACCACCAGAGGTGTAATTGGAGCACTATGGACTTGACAGGACTGTCTATCCTTAATGCCCGGCCTTCCAGGCTGCCTGGACCAAAGCTCCTACACCAACTGGTGAAGGAGCCGGGCCAACACGTAGCCCTGGATTATATGGGTAACGGTCGGCAATCCACGTTGACCTACAGCGAGCTTCATGAAGCTGCAGCGTCCATTGCGACTCGCATAACAACAGCATCAGGCAATGTCACTGGACAGTTTGTTGTTCCTGTGCTCATCCACCAATCCCCTCTTCTATATATCTCACTCTTGGCCATCTTGAAGTCCGGAGGGGCTTTCTGTCCTCTCAATATCGATGCGCCGCCGGAACGCGTAAAATTCATTCTTGACGATGTCTCAGCAACAGTGGTTTTGACCACGAAAGAACTGGCATCTGAAATACCCTGCGATACCAGTGCAACTATAATCATCGTTGATGAGTATGAAGAATATCAAATCCCTTCTCGATCTCCAAGAGTCGAGCTCAAATATCGAGTGCCTCAGCCAGAAGATCTAGCCTATGTCATGTATACATCAGGATCAACAGGAACTCCCAAAGGCGTGGGAATTTCGCACGATGCTGCATCGCAAGCTCTTATTGCCCATGATAGACATATCCCACCATTCTCCCGCTTTCTGCAGTTTGCAGCACCGACATTTGATGTCTCGGTCTTTGAAATATTCTTCCCATTCTTTCGAGGTGCTACTCTCGTGAGTATTCGGCGGGCTGAGATGTTAGATGACCTTCCTGGCGTGCTTCGCGCTATGAGAGTGGATGCCTGTGAACTCACACCAACAGTCGCTGGAAGCCTGTTGCGCCGAAGAGAAAATGCGCCAGACCTCAAGTTGCTTTTGACAATTGGAGAAATGCTCAACGCCCCAGTAGTTGAGGAATTTGGAGGGGACAATGAGAGGCCGAGCATGCTCTGGGCAATGTATGGACCAACCGAAGCCACAATCCACTGGTAAGATTCTCAACTATTTCTTAGTAAACACCTAACTCTAACAAAATGTTAGTACTCTTCAAACTGCGTTCTCGTCTGATTCCTCGACGGGCAATATTGGCGTACCCCTCGATACAGTGTCGTGCTTCATTATCGAGATTCCAGAGTCAGATAGCCACGAATTTGAAATTAAAATTCTTCCGCAGGGAGAGGTTGGAGAGTTGGCTGTGGGTGGCTACCAGTTAGCTGCTGGCTACATCAACAGACCGGAGCAAACAAATTCAGTCTTCCTTGATTCACCGTTTGGGCGCATCTATCGTACGGGGGACAAAGCTCGCTTACTACCAAATGGAAAACTTGAATGCTTCGGTCGATTATCAGATGGCCAAGTGAAGCTGAGAGGACAACGTTTGGAGTTGGGGGAAGTAGAGCAGGCTGTCCTTCGAACCTCAGGATGTCACAGCGCCGTGGCAGCGATAGTACAATCTATCCTGATAGTGTTCTGTGCCGTCGACGAAGGAGTGACTGAGTTTTCTATTTTGAAGCATTGCAAAGATTGGCTGCCGCAGTATATGGTCCCTGGAGAAGTTGTCCTGATGTCAGAATTTCCAAGATTACCCAGTGGCAAGGTTGACCGGAAGAGGCTCAAAGCAGAGTACGAACAACGCAAAGCTGACATATCAGAGAGCATCTTGGACTCCGCGCCGGTTGACACAATGGAATCAGAGCTTCTGGCAGTTGTGTCTCAGAGTTTGAATTTCAAAGTCGATAAGTCGACGTCTCTCACCTTGATTGGGATGGATTCTCTCAAAGCAATCAAGTTAGCCTCTGCTCTTCGCACTTCTGGGTTTGGGATAGACTCAACTGCTATTCTCACAATGAAAACTGCGTCTGAAATTGTTTCTGCCATCCGAAGGCAGCCGCAATCCGATATAGACAACCCTCAACAAGCGTCAAAAGATCTTTCATTAGACTTTGAGGATATTGTACAACAAGACGCCAGCTTGGCTCGAATTCGTGGCTCAGTCGAGGACGTTATACCATGCACGCCTCTTCAAGCAGCAATGCTAGCCGAGACTGCACGGAACCCAACAACCTATTGCAACGAGCTTGAGCTTAGTATTCCGCTAGGTTATGGCATCAATCATATATCAGAGACTTTCAGGGAACTTTCACAGCAGAATGCAATTCTGCGTGCAGGGTTTGCAGCTGCAAAGGGCAACTTCGTTATGATTTTCCAGCCGGAACTCCGACCCGAACAGATCTGCGTTGTCGACCAGTTTCAAAAACGACTGTGCCTCTCCTCACCACAGGACTTTATATCTCCCTTGATACTCCAGATCCAGCGAAGTCCAGTAGAAGATAGCGTCCGTGTTCTTTTACAACTGCATCATTCTCTATATGATGGATGGTCTATGGATATTCTTCTTTCTGATTGGTCCAAACTACTCCTGCGACAACAAGTATCTCAGCGTCCTCCATTCCGGGAAGTTGTCAGATTTTATCATGATCTGCAAACAGGCGATGCCACCCGAGTATTCTGGACGGAACATCTCGCAGGATGGAAACGATCGCCATTGCCCAAGCTACGCAGTAAGGTGATGAGCTCAAACCGAAGCCTATCAATCAGGAGGCGATTATCCCTCTCTCGGAGTAGGGTTGATACAGAAATGCAGAAGCTTCGCTGCAGTCCTCAAGTGATATTCCAGGCCTCACTAGCTCTGCAGTGGTCAGGGATCACAGGAATGCGTGATATCACGATTGGCTCAGTAACTTCTGGGAGGACGATTCCTTTAGCAAGTATTGAGCAAGTAATTGGACCATGTATTGCCTCCCTCCCTGTTCGAGTGGATCTAGACAACATATCTGTATGTCTTGACCTGCTCAATAGCATCCACTCAAGTAACAGAGGAATTATGCAACATTGTACGCTTTCGTTGTCAGAGCTCAAGAAGCTGGCTTCATTACAGCCCGGCGAAAGCCTCTACGATGTGCTTTTTGTATACCAGGAATCTCTCGCCAGCTCGGAGCGGATACACAACGTTGTGAGAGAGACAAGTCATCTGGACCGACTAGAAACACCGATCGTGTTTGAGGTTGAGCCAAGAGAAGATGGATTCGAGCTTCAAGTTACATATCAAGAGGACTTCGTGTCCCCTGAAACAGCAGAACATATGGTGAACCAGCTTGAGTCATTGATTATCTCCATGCTGGAGAATCCTACCACCAAGGTCAAAGCGACACTGAAGGAGATCAGCTGTAGCCCGTCCATCAACAACATCCGGCCTACCATACCACAGAAAATCCCTGACTTAGCGCGACTTTTTGAAGAAGTTGTGCTTCAAACTCCGGACTCTGATGCTCTACTATTTGCTCACTCTTTGGACGGCGGATACCAGACGAAATGGACATTTCAAGAGCTCAACGCAGTGGCAAATCGCATTGCGAGATATCTCCATTGCAGCGGTGTCAGGGTTGGCGAAGTAGTGGCTATTGTGATGGAGAAGTCACCAACTTTGTACGCATCAATCCTGGGCATCATCAAGTGTGGTTGTGGATATCTTCCAATTCTTCCATCAACCCCTAGTGCTCGCATTAGCGAGATTCTACAGCAGGCCCAGACTGAGCATTGCGTTGTCGATAACGTGTCTTGTGACCAATACCCATCTCTGGCTGAGCTTTCTACGATAACTGTCGATACCAACTCGCTCCATGACATATCCACGGACAATCTGGTCGTTGAAGTTGATGGGACTCGACTAGCGTACGTGATTTACACGTCGGGAACGACAGGAACCCCAAAGGGTGTTGCAATTCAGCAACATAGTATGGCTGCAAACATCGAGCATCTCGTGGCACTGTATCCCAAGTGTCTCAATTCACAGGGCCGTCTTCTACAAGCATGCTCTCAAGCATTCGACGTGTCAGTATTCGAGATATTTTATACATGGTGCGCAGGGATGTGTCTGTGTTCAGGGACAAATGACACAATCTTGGAAGACATTGAGCGCTCAATACGCGAACTTGGTATCACCCACCTCAGCATGACACCAACAGTTGCCAATATCGTTAACCCTGCTAATGTCCCCGGCGTGGAGTTTCTTGTGACTGCCGGAGAACCCATGACACAGTCTGTCTATGAGAAATGGCAACGCCAGTTGTGGCAGGGGTACGGACCATCGGAAACCACAAATATCTGCACAGTGAAGAAAATGACAGCAGATGACCATATTGAGCACTTAGGGCACGTGTTTCCTAATACCTCTGTTGTGGTACTCTACCCAGAAAGTTCTGACGTAGTTCCCCTTAATTGGGTCGGCGAGTTCTGTTTTGGAGGTGCCCAGGTCGCTGAAGGTTACCTCAACATGCCAGAGCTCACATCTCAAAAGTTCATTCAACATCCCCAGTACGGAAGGCTTTACAGATCTGGAGATATGGGTCGCATGCTTCCTGACGGTTCCCTGCTGATACTTGGTCGTATCGATGATCAAGTAAAATTAAGAGGCCAGCGAATCGAAGTTGGTGAGATCAACAGCACGGTGACCTTGAGTGGTCTGGCATCCTCAGCTGCTACAATATTGGTGCAGCGCGGAGAGACTTCCCCCCAGCAACTATCTCTCTTCTTCATTCCGAATCATGACCCTTCTAGCTTTGATGTGTTGGAAATCAACAGCGAAACCCATCAGTCCCTGCTCGCACACCTCAAATCGCGATTGCCAAGCTACATGGTCCCCACTTACCTCATACCAATCTCATCAATACCCATGACTTCGAGTGGAAAGATAGATAAGCGCCGACTTCGTGACTGCTTTAACAGCTTGGGTATGGACTACCTCGAAGAAGCCTCTAGAATGTCCTTAGACACTCAAGACGAGGGTGATTGGAGCCAGTCAGAATTGAAAGTTGCAGATACCCTTCTCAAGTCTGTGGATGTATCCAGGAATGACTTCGGTAGATGGACACCCTTTGCTCTTCTCGGCATAGACTCTATATCTGCTATTGACTTAGCACGCAATCTCAGCTCAAAACTTGGTTCTCGAGTTGCTGTGTCTGAGATCCTTCGCAACCAAACTGTTGCGCAGTTGGCGAGATATCTGGATGGAAAGACATCACAAAAAAAGGAAGCCCCAGTCGATAGTCTTGAAGACTTTTTCGCCGCCACCTTCGTTGACTCAATGAAAAAAGAGTTTGCCAAAGAGGCAAAGACCATAAGGGAGATCTTGCCATGTACTCCTTTACAGGAGGCGATGCTTTCCCGCGGCCAAAGGGGTTACTATAACAAGGTCCTCCTACGCCTGACAACTACATCTGGAGCCATGAGGTCATACTGGAAAACCATGTCGTATAGGCATGATATTCTTCGGACCTGCTTTGCGGCGACAACAGATTCCCGACGTGCCATTGCTCAGATCGTCCTCGAGAGCTGGGAAATACCGTGGAAGACGTTCGTTGTGAGTGAATTGTCTTTCGATGGGGCGATTGAGCAACATCTCAAGTCTCTCCCTGATCCAGTAGATTCAAGGACACCACCGATATCTCTAGCGCTACTGAGGTACCATGGATCCGAGTTTCTGTCATTCATCTGCCATCACGCTCTTTACGATGGTGTGGCAATGGAACGACTTCTCAAGGAGGTGGAAGCATTGGCCGCTGGCGAGGAACTACCACCGACAGTCCCCTATAGTCAGTTTCTGAAACTGTCCACTCGCTTGCCCGATGATGCAGAACAGTTTTGGCAACGGCACTTTGAGAACTACAAACCATCTGTAGTCTTTCCCCAGACAACTACGAGTGATGTTGACCAGAGCACCTGCACCACATCTATGGATATCCCTCTCAGCGATTTGCAGTTGCGTATTCGAGATCTCGGGTCAACCCTACTTTCGGTTTGCCAAGCCAGCTGGGCCACTGTCCTTGCAGCCGCATACAGACGTACAGACGTGTGTTTTGGAAATGTTGTCAGCGGCCGTACTCTTGACATCGAAGGTCTCGAAAGACTCGTTGCACCCTGTTTTAATACCATCCCTGTGCGCGTCGACTTTCCAGAAGCATCAAGTAATCTTGATCTGCTTAAGCACCTTCAAAAGATGAATACAGAGCTTATTGCCTACCAATTTACTCCTCTGAGGCTTATCCAGCGTAGCATCAATCGCACTGGGAAGCATATATTTGATACGCTTCTACTGCTGCAAAAGCCATTACAAGACATCGACAAGAACGTCTGGACACTTGAAGGAGATTCTGGAGATATAGATATCCCCTTGGTGTGCGAAATCGTCCCTTGCCCTGGGTTGAACTCACTGGTTGTCAATATTCACAGGGACATGAGTATTGTCACTGAGGAAGTTGCCACGGCTATGGCTGATGTTTTCAAACTTACATTGCGAGCCATTCTGACGGCTCCCCATGCAAGTGTATTGAACAAGAAGGATCTTCCCGACACCCTCAGGTCAATAATAGACCAACTCGTACCTCGAACTGAGAAAGACAATACAGCGGTGATACTTTCGAACGAAAAGGAAGAATGGAGTGAGCTTGAGTTACAAGTTAGACATGTCCTGGCCACCCTTTCAGGGGTGGGCGGTCAGCATATACAACGCCGCACAACCATTTTCCAGTTGGGCCTCGACAGCATCAACGCTGTGCAGGTGGCTTCGGTTCTACGTCAGCGCGGTTTCGTTGTATCGGCCTCTGATGTGATTGAATGCCCAAGTTGCTCTAAGATAGCCGCAAAGCTACTGGAAAATTCATCGAGAGCAGATGCTGGGTATGCATTGAAGTACGATCTTGACAGATTTTCACGACAAGTCCTCGCAGAGGTTGTTTATCAACTACCCAAATCAGTCAAAGTCGAGGCAGTCCTACCATGCACGCCTGTCCAGTCTGCCATGCTGGCATCCTTCATTCAGTCTGGAGGTGACAACTACCTCAACGCAGTGAGGTATGAAGTGACGGAAGATGTCCAGGTAGCGAACCTCGAAAGGGCTTGGCAGCAGCTTCAACAACGACATCCTATGCTGAGAACTGGCTTTGTGCCCGTGCAACATGCAGAATCCTCTTTTGCTATGGTGAGGTATGAAGCAGGATCAATAGAGACGACTATGAACCGTCTGCACTTGGTTGAAGACGAAGAGGCCGACCTCATCCAGATGAAGACTGATGCCAGCAAATCGATGCATTCTTCGCTGCACCACCCACCTTGGAGTGTGATTCTGGCTCAAACATCCCGAACCAAGACCATGAGCCTCATCATTCACCATGCTCTCTACGACGCTCCCGCACTCCACTTGATGCTTGATGAACTTTCACAACTAGTCAAGGGCAATCAACTAGCCCGACCTGCGACTATCGAGCCTGCAGTATCAGCTATTCTCGGAATGGCACTGAATGACAAATCTACAGAGAAGGAATTCTGGGAGACCAAAGCTAGCGAGATTGTTGTTAACAAGTTTCCAATAATGACACCCTTACGAGTTGAAGAACGACAAGTGCTAGTTGACTCAACATATAGTTTTCTGTCATACACAAAACTCAGGGAAGCGACTCAAGCCTCAAATATCACAATCCAGGCGGCCATCCAAGCCGCTTGGACACGAGTACTGGCATCTTATTTGGGAGAGGACTCGGTTGTCTTTGGTGTCGCGCTGTCTGGAAGAACCATTGACGAGACCAAGGATATCGCGTTCCCATGCCTCAACACAGTGCCTGTTGTGGCAAGAAACGTTCCGTCTAATGCCGACCTGATCAGCTACATGATGAGCTATAACCAGCACCTTCACAAATACCAATTCTCGCCGCTCAGTCAAGTGCAGAAATGGCTAGGTCACCCCGCAGGCCCCATATTCGACACTCTAATTGCGTACCAGAAAATGCCAGATCAGAACACTTCGGTTGTACCGTGGAAACTGGTCAACGAAGAAGCCAAAGTCGAGTATCCAGTCTCATTGGAGATTGAACCCACGGGCGATGATCAAATTCGCTTAAGCATAACGTACTACAGCGACATTCTTCCCCGTGAACAAGCGCAGCTGTTGATGAAGCAGTTCGACGCTTCACTAACCCACATCGCCTGTAATGCTGCTGGTTTTGAGGACGAAGTGATGAGAAATTCTTTATCCCTGTATTCGATACTTCCTGCATCAGCCCCAGTAATGGACACCCCCGTTCAGCTCTTACACCAATTTGTTGAGAATGGAGCAGTTTCTCATCCGGAAAAAATTGCTCTCGAGTTTGTATCAGAGTTCGAGGGAGATGCATGTGTCAAGCAACAATGGAACTATCGTCAACTTGACTGCCTCGGTAACAAAATTGCCAAAATGCTTCAAAATACGGTCTCCCCTGGCGGCATTGTTGCGGTACACTTTGATAAATGCCCCGAGGCATATTTCTCAATCCTGGGCATTCTAAAAGCTGGGTGCTCGTTTGTCGCACTGGATCCGTCTGCACCAAGAGCGAGAAAGGAGTTCATTATCGGAGATTCCAAAGCACCTTGCTTGCTAACAAGGTGCTCTAAGGATCTTGATTTCGAAGCAAAAACCACGGTCATGGAGATAGAAACTCAGGCTTTGAACGACGTGACCGAGGAGCATGTCGTTTTACACCCCAACATATCTCCATCAGATACTTGTTATTGCCTCTATACATCTGGGACAACAGGAACGCCAAAGGGCTGTGAGATCACTCACGAGAACGCTGTCCAGGCAATGATGGCGTTCCAGGAACTTTTTAAAGGTCACTGGGACGAGGACTCACGTTGGCTTCAATTCGCTGCTCTCCACTTTGATGTTTCCGTCCTCGAGCAGTATTGGAGCTGGTCCGTGGGAATGGCCGTCGTTGCTGCACCCAAAGACCTCATACTCGATGACTTGACAGCAGCCATCAATAGGCTGCGCATCACACACATTGACCTAACTCCAAGTCTTGCGCGACTCACACATCCTGATGAAGTTCCCAGTCTCTGCCGTGGTGTGTTCATTACAGGCGGCGAACAGCTTAAACAGGAGATTCTTGATGTTTGGGGACCGCAAGCTGTCATTTACAACGCATACGGCCCTACTGAGGCCACTATCGGTGTCACTATGTTTCAGCGTGTGCCCAAAAATGGCCGCCCTAGCAACATCGGAAAGCAGTTCCCCAATGTTGGTTCATTTGTGTTCAAACAAAACACCAATACGCCAGTCTTCCGCGGTGGCGTTGGAGAGCTTTGCGTGTCAGGGAAACTGGTGGGCAAGGGTTATCTCAACAGACCCGAACTTACAACAGAGCGCTTCCCTACACTTGAAGAATTCAACGAGAGAGTATACAGGACCGGCGATCTCGTCCGCGTGCTCCATGATGGGTGCTTTGACTTTCTCGGTCGGGCTGACGACCAAGTTAAGCTTCGCGGCCAGCGACTTGAAATTGCCGAGATCAATCATATCATCCGTACCGATGTTGTCGATATTCACGACGCCGCAACTATTGTGGCTCGCCATGGAAGTAGTGGCAAGGACGTTCTGGTAACATTCATCGTTGACCAGAAGTCTCAAAAAGGTCCCCTTGAGATCCTGATGGATCAGGAGGGCCTGGCTGCGCAAGCAAAAGAAGCCTGCCGTGCCAAACTTCCAGGGTACATGGTACCAACATATATCCTGTCACTTCCATACATACCCCTTTCCTCAAACAACAAGGCAGAAATCAAGGACCTGAAAAGACTTTTCAGCGAACTTGCACCAGAGAAGCTCTTGGAGCTTTCTCATGCCACAACAGCACCTGTTTCACAGGGGGCCCGGAAGATAATTGGCCGATTGCTTGAGAGTATCGCGCAGTTCAGCAACATGAGCAAAAATGACCTATCGGCATCGACAAGCATCTTTGACGTTGGCGTGGACTCAATCACAGCCCTCAGACTTTCCTCCCTACTCAAATCCCGTGGCCTCAAAGCAGTATCTCCTGCTTTGTTGCTTAAAAACCCCATCATCGGCGACCTTGCCAACTCCTTGGCCAAGAACACCTCAAATCGACAAGAGAAACTTGTGCGAGAGGTCAAGCAGTCCATCCAAGCATATGGCCATCGACACCGTGGCATGGTATGCCGCCTCCTTAATATCGAGCCAGCTGATGTCGAATATGTTGCCCCATGCTCACCATTACAAGAAGGCATCATATCTCGGTCATTGACCAACAACGAGCCCGGCGCTTACTTCAATACTTTTGAGTTGAAGCTCCATGAGTCTACTTCCTTAAGCAAGTTGAAAAAGGCATGGGACGATTTGGTACTAACAGAGAGCATTCTGAGAACTGTCTTTGTACCCACCCAGAATGGTTTCTTGCAAGCTGCCGTGCGAAAATCTACCTTGGACTGGGAAACACACATTGCACAATCGGATGATTCGATTCCTGCATATCTTGCAGAGCAGAAGAAGTATTGGATCCAGCGGAACGAGTCCTCTATCACACAGCCTTTGCTATTCATCTATGTTGAGACACCGACATCTAGACTACTTACGATTCATATTTTCCATGCACTTTATGATGGTAACAGTTTTGATCTCATGATGAAGCGGGTTGCGGCGAAATATTCAGGTGTTGACGCACCTGACGCACCTTCCTTTCTTCAAGCTCTTAGTTATGGTCCTTTGGCAAAGCATGATAACTGCAGAGGTTTCTGGGAGAAACAGCTAGAAGGCTGGACTTCTGTTTCAATCCAGGCGCATGGAGATGGCGAACCTGATGCTGTAGCCGTCGCTGAGCGGGAAATGTCGACCGCAAGTCTTGAGGCGATTCGTTCTTCTCAGAATGTCACGCTTCAGGCTGTTATCATGGCGTTATGGACCTCTGCTCTGCAGAAGTTCACCCAGCAGCAGCCTACCGTTGGTATCGTTGTATCTGGGCGAACCATCGACCTCCCTGGAATCGAGAACACCATCGGCCCTCTCTTCAACACCGTACCTTTCTATTGTCGAGCGATTCATCACGAAAGCTGGCAGTCCCTTCTCCGGCGATGTCATGATTTCAATGCATCGGTTCTCGATTTCCAACATGTCCCTTTGAAGGACATCCAGAAGTGGTGCTCTAAGGGCAAAGCTTTGTTTGATAGCCTCTTCACCTTCCAGATCGAGGAGGCCACCGTCGCCAATGAGAGCAGCCTCATTTTTGATATTGGGGATAGTCCAGCAACGCCTGACTACCCTCTTGCGCTTGAAGCCGTCCACGGTCGTTCGGGCAATCTTCGACTGACTCTTGTCGCACAAGGACATCTGGCGTCCTCACAAGTGCTGAATAGGATACTTGACGACATTGAGCGCTTTGCAAGCCTGGCTGCAAGCTCACCAGAGAGCGAGGTGCCCATCCCAGGCATCGAGCAAAACTGCAACCCTGACACCAACAATGAACGCATCCAAACGCACGAATCGAGCAATTTTGAATGGAGCCAAGAAGCTCAAATTGTTCGGAACGAAGTAGCTTTCTTGGCCGATATCGCCCCCTCTGAACTCCATGAAAATGTACCGATCTTAGAACTCGGTCTCGACAGCATTGATGTGATCAAGCTTTCTACCACACTGAAGAAGAAAGGAATGCACCTATCCCCTTCACATATCATGCGCCACAAGACGATTGCCAATATACTGGCTGAGTCGAGTGATCTTTCTCTCAAAGCGTCAACTTCTGCGGATGATGCTTCGCTGCTGCAGGTCAAGGCTAGGTTACGCGAATATCTTGAAGGGGTCGGTGCGGACCTGGGCCGCGTCGAATCTGTTCTTCCACCCACCCATCTTCAGGAGTCAATGGTGGCTGGGATGGTCCAGTCTGATTTTGAATCCTACTTCAATCACGATATTCTTCAAGTGTCCGATCATGTTGACACTACCAGACTGATCGACGCTTGGAAGGAATTGATTCAGCGTACACCTATCCTACGGACAGGGTTTGTACAAGTCGCCCAGCAGAACCTGGATATGACATATTGCCAGGTCATTGCAGAATCTTGTGACGACGGCATTGAAGTTACGACAGTTCAAAACTTGGATGAGTTACGTCAACTCACCGTAGCAGCAACTGCAAAAGCCAGAAAAGGAGCAGGAGCAAGGTATCTGGTTCAGTTGAGATTGGCGAATATGGGCTCTCATCGATACATGGTCCTTTCCATGGCACACGCTCTTTACGATGGATGGTCCCTGAGTTTGCTCTTCCAGGATCTCCAGGCACTGTTAGAAGGAAGGCTGATTACCCGTTCTCCAGTAGAACCATTCCTTATAAAAGTACTGGGGTCCACGAACCAGGAGGCGAAGGACTTTTGGACACAGTATCTGGAAGATGCTTCGCCATCGATCATTCCTTCGAGTGAAACGTGGCCCAGCCCAACTGAGAGCACCCTGCAAAGATTGGAGTCCGCTTCCAAGATTGGCCTCCCCGAAATCGAAACCGCCTGTAAAAGGCTTTCTGTAAGCTTGCAGGCACTCTGCCAAGCTTGTTGGGCCATCACACTAGCACGTCAAATCAAGAAGCTCGACGTCCTCTTTGGCACAGTCTTGTCGGGTCGGGATTTTGATGGGGCAGACAATCTCGTGTTCCCAACAATGAATACAATTGCCCTGCGATGTATCCTGCACGGTTCAGTGTCCGAGTTTCTACGGTATCTTGAGGAGAACATGATCGATATCAGAGACTCCCAGCAATATCCACTGCGAAAAGCCCAATCAGCAACGAAGCTTAATGGACAAGATTTGTTCAACACCTTGTTCATCCTTCAAAAGTCTCCGGTAGCTCAATCATCAGACCGACCCTTGTTCACATCCATTGAAGCGTCTTCGGCCACCGAGTATCCCCTTTGCGTGGAAGCTGAAGCCACGTCTGATACTCTCTTATGGCGACTTGCTCTTCAGCCCCAGTATGTCTGGGACGGAGGACCGGAAACTATTTTGGAGACTTTAGATGCTGTCATGGGTTTCCTGATACAGCCTGGCTCCCAGGAGATCCTATCTTTCGAGGAGCATGGCGTGTCCATCTGCGGTATGGCTCCTGTCATACTGGGCGATGGAAGCAGTTCCGTGCCAGTTGATCCTACAGATCTACCGTCAGAAGAGGATCGGGAGTTGTCCCAAAATGAAGCGGAAATCCGAAACATTCTTCACCAGGTCTCGGGTGTTCCCCTTGCCTCAATCAGGATATCCGATAACCTTTACCACCTTGGCCTCGATTCAATTAGTGCCATCAAAGTGTCATCCCTCCTACGAAAGATTGGAACAAACCTCCGCCCTCAAGATCTTGTAAAATCCTCAAATATTGCAGAAATGGCTCAACGAGTCGCGCGAGCCCAAGCTATACCGTCAGAGACTCTGGGATTGACCGAAGAATGGGTCCCACCAGACGATATCAATCTTGAAGTTCTACTTCACGCCCATGGAATAGGAAAAGAAGATGCTGAAGTACTTCCTGCATTGCCAATGCAAGTCTACATGCTCGGTGCATGGCAAAGAGCAAAGGGCTCCGTATTCTTTCCTGAGTTCCCATGTCAAATTAAGACCTCAGTTGATTTAAACGGCATCCAGGCTGCCTGGGATAAACTTGTGTCTGAAGTACCTCTCTTACGCACATTTTTCATTCCAACCCAATCTCCAACTATCCCGGTTTTGCAGGTTGTGCTCAAATCTCACAAGCTTTCCTTGACTCTGGACCCCCCTAAAGAGCAGTCAACTCGGGCTGCCCAGCCACTTGTTAGCGCGCACATCACGCTCCAGGAAGACTGCATCTGGTCACTCAGACTTCAGATCCACCACGCTCTGTACGATGGAGTCAGCCTTCCAGCCCTATTGCGACGATTATCTCAACTACTAAATGGCTCTATTGCCGTCGAGAACAATGGGCTTACTCAGTGGAAGAATTTTGCAGTCCGTCAGGCTAGTGAAGCAGCCCATAAAGATAGACGAGCTTTCTGGAAAGCTTACTTACACGGCACCTCTTCCACTCCGATTGCTGCTGAATCGCAAGCAGACGTAAAGAACCGGATTTCTTACTTAAACGAATCAGCGATACCAGATGCCAGTCAGATACAAGCCATTTCTACCCAGTCTGGCGTCTCACTCCAGTCTTGGTTCCTTGCAGCTTATGCCAAAACCCTCGCCACGCGAAACAACACACCAGACAACGGGTCAGTGGTGTTTGGCCTGTATCTCGCCAACCGAGCTGCTGCCAGCGATAGGCTCCCTCAGGTCTATCCGACTCTGAACCTTGTTCCTTTGAGGGTTGACTCACCCATAGAACTCCCTTTGTCTTCTGTTGCAAAGAATATTCAGAGAGACATTCACCAGATTACATCTGATGGACGATCAGACGTCGGTCTCTGGGAGATTTATCAATGGACTGGTGTACAAGTAGAATCATTTGTCAACTTCCTGAGCCTCTCCGACGATACAGGCTCAGTAGAGAACTCGGTCACAGTTTTGCCACAAGAAATAACTGACAACTCATACCGTCATCACGTACCAGCTCTATTTGAGGCGGCTCGTCAGGAAAGCTTTTCGGTGACTGGCATTCCGGTAAGTTACTGGTCTTCAAGTTCAAAATGGCTACTGACCCTACTGTCACAGCTGGCTGTTGATGTTGAGGCTTCCGTTGATAAGGGACGTCTTGCCATTGGTGTTTTCGGCTCACAGCAGCAGATCTCTCGAGAAGAAGCTGTACTTGTGGTTTCCAGTATCGCGGACACTTTGAGGCATGCCGCCCGAATGATCATGGCGGCGAAAAGAAAGGAAACCCATCGTATTTAGACTGGCTTTTCGGGATCGAGAGCTGCACATCATGTTTTGAGCACAAGAGATGTATTTCTTCGTTTATGTAAATAAAATAACAAAAGTTTCTGTCTAGTTTCAATTCTTATGTAAACGCCTGACTCCTTCATGATACATCTAATCAATCTCCTGTACACCGTTGGACCACATATCAATATGAAACATCACAGAGAGTCCAAAAAGGGCAATAGGAGTGTGATGTCCAACTAACTAGGAGACGAAAGACAGAGTCCCGGCTAGCAAGTTTATGCTTCTTTCAAACCGAGTACCCCAGCATTGAGCGATCTGGAAAGAGGATGATATTGGCTAAGCGCACGACCTCAGCCTCAGCGCGAGAAATCGATGATGTGCTTGTGAGACTCTTGGCATCTCCGTCTCCCTCCATCTCAACATCCTCATCGGCCTTAGACTTGGACTTTTCCGAGGGTGGTGATCCGGAGCGAGTGCCTGCAACTTCCCATGGCGCAAGACCCATAGCCTGTAATGAAGAGGGGCCTCCGACTTCGGCAATTTCCTTTTCACCAGGCCGTGTTTCGGCGTCTTCTTCGACAATCCCTCTTCCTGTGGAATCAAAGTCCGGGCCGGGATGGCCCCTTTGGAATGCCTTCCTTTGACGCGCAAGATAGAGAGCATTTGTTTGTGTGAGCGGGGCTGCCGGAATGTACACGAGCATGCTGACTTCACTCTTGCTTCCACTAGGTGTTTTCAGACCATAGTTGTTACTGGAGAGGTAGTATGGAAGGTCAGGGTGCCAGAATATGTAGTCTCCAGGCTGCAGAGTTGGCAAAGTAATCATGCTATTTCGTAGATGCAAATGGGGGTGCCATGTTTCGGTAATTCTTTGTGCGTGTCCCGGGACGGCTCCGTGAATGATGGAATCAGGCTCAGTTTGCAGCTTCCAATTCTCGGGAGCAAGATATGCCTCCCATTCAGGCCCAGTGCGATTCTCTGGTGGAGGATTCTTGGTTGTAAAAAAGGGTCGGAGGAGGTAGTAAGCTGTTGCAAGCTTGGGAGAAGGCAAGAGGCGAACCATGCCAGGTTCGACAGTGGAAAGTGCCAAAATGCCCTGAAACATGCGGAAGATAGTGCAGGCACCGTAGCCATTGTAAAGATCAGTCGTCACAGAAGTGCGACTGGTACATTTCCAAGGATCGTAGTCTTCCCATTGACCATGAAAGATATGGTTATAGGTGCCGGCGCGTTGATAGCCGTCGGGCTCCCAGCGCTCCAGGGACCCGTTGTCAACTTGTGCTGTGATACCCGCAGATGATTGTAATGCCTGGATCCAATCGTCGGCGGATTGTGGCGGCTCGAGCGGCGGCACATTTAGACTGTTGGACTGGTTCTCTCCATTCCCGTGTACGCGTATGCGATCGACATATGTGATAGGGAGTCTTGTGACAAGCTGATCATCTGGATTGGTCTCCCATAGGCTCATCATAAATCGTTGGGCGCTGAGGACATTGGGGTGCGCTCTCGAGCGGACTTGAGCTGGTGTCCAAAAGAAGTCGAAACAGGCTGGATCATGCTGCTGGAGTGCCTTGATGTGGCGTTTGCTATCGAGGTAGTCGACCGTTTCACGGACTGCAGTATCTGTGTCTGCTCTTGGTACGACCTTGCGGACGACGCCGACACCGTAGCGCCTTAGATCATGTCCAAAGCGCGCAGTCTGAACAGAGTCATCTAGGTCGCCAAACTCAATTGAGGGAATGAGGTGAGCCCCAAGGTCCTCTATGTGACTGACCTCTTTGCGAAGTGCAGTAATGAGGCGGGCCCAACTAGCTTCGAGCTCAGCTTCATGACCACTGATGAGGTTGCGCTTGATGCGGGCGAAGCGGGAGGGCAGAGCAATTGGCTCTGGGCCCCAAAAGGAAATTACGGGAGCATCTTTGTCCATAGAAGAGGCGGTGCTAAGGGTCGGTGTCGTTCCATTTGTTTTGGGCTTTTGTGACAGAGAGGAGAGGCCGTTGGGTTTTAGCGAGGGGAGAGCTGTTGTCGTCGTGGTTGACTGGCTACCCGCCATTGTACCGGCGATGTTAGCAGCTAGTGCCGCAGTAAGCTTTGCCTCGTAGGATAATCTTGCACTCTCTGTAGCAGCAGCATTCACAAGCGACGCTGCGATTGGTGCTGAAAGAGAAGAGCGATGGCGAGACTTGGTGACGCGACCGGTTTGTATGAAGTTGAGGTTATTGGGACTGTTGTTGGAAGCAGCAGCTGTAGCAGCAACAGCAGTATTGGTAGCGTTGTAAGGGGATGCGCCTGATAGTGAGCCTGAGCTGGAGCTTGTGCTGGAGGGGTTTGAACGACCAAGGCGGGAGCGGGAAAGAGCAGCTCTGACCTGTTGACCTGCCACATCAGCGCCTTTTCTAGGCGGCAACTGCACCCCTTCTGGCCCTCCTCCTCCTCCTCCTCCTCCTCCCTCCCATACCTCCCGCTCTCCTCTTCCATCTCCTCCTCCACCTTCCGCCGCTATAACTGTTTCGACCCTTGTTACCGGTCCCATGGTTGCAGCATCCCACTTCTCTTGGGCCTCCCTAAGGCTTTTCTGTTGTTTCGCCTCACGTGCGCCTTTGTGATCTACATCGTGGAACTGGCCATCTTCTTCTGAGATGTGACCATCGTATGGCTTTCCATATGCGACTCTTCCAAGTCCGTGTGTGAGACTGTCCCCGACAGCTACAGCCGCCACTGCTGCTGCTGCTCCTATTGCAGAGGCTAGTCCTTGAGCGTTGTCCAATATGGGCGTGGTGACCTCTTCTTCACACGTTGTTGGTGGTAAGTCGATTGTTGGCGTAGCCATTTTCCTAACCTCGAATCGCGTTTTGAAGTTGGGGATTTCGGGGTGCAGCCGCTGACAGCCGATTGAAGGCTCTTGGGATCGGTTATTTATCGCGTCTGCTTGTTAATGCTTTAAAAACACAATAAAAACACTGCTGCAACCTGAATATCTCAGCCATAGGGACACAGCAATCCGTCAAATGGTTTCATGCATCAAATTGCAAAGATTCGAGAACAGAGCGAAATCAACAAATGCATCTGCTGCTATTCAGCTTGCACTGCTTCTTCTATAAACCTCACTCAAAACGAAGGTATGGCCCCTACCGATCGAGACCTCTTTAGCAGGCGGCTGGCCGGACCGGGGCTCTGCTAAGGCCATCTCACCTGTCGTTCCGGAAGATACTCTCTAATATCCCCATGGAGGAGTAGAGGGTCCTCGACCGAGGGACCCTGCACAACGGCGCAACGGCCGACGTGGATGGATCTCACAGACACGTTTCGGCCCTGTCATCCGTCGAACCACCCACTCCACGCTCAACGCTCCGTCCCGAAACCCCGGACATACCCCACACTTTTCCTTTTGGAGCAGCTGATGGATGCACGGCTTCACGGGCCATAACCCGTCTAAATGGATACCAGTGCATCCGCTGAGAAAAGTCAGGTAACAAAGTGAGTTGTGGGAATGGTTATCTACTAGTCACCCGAGACCCAACAAGACCCAATATGCATAATAATAACGCGCAATGCTATATCGATTCTGTGGCATCTTGCCACTGCTTATTATCACCTTATCTCAGCCACCCAGAACGCACCCAAGATTGAATGTCCTGCATCGCGCTTCGGATGCCCCGATTGGTTCTGGAACATCGGCGCATATTGAACTTTCGTTTCATCATGGAGAAATATCGAGCATTCCGTGCCTTGCAAGACACATTAAACTGAGCGATCCGGGTGGTTTAGTGGTGGAAAGTCGCCGGCCCGCTGTGCCTGTTTTACTGATCCGTCGCGGCAAAATATGAATTGGTCAAGAAGCTGGGCCAAGGGCCTCATCGGGGAAATACTACCCGACACCGGCACAAGCGATTGAAAGAACAACGGCAAATCGGGCCACAAGCCCCCGAGAGTCTTATTTGGTAAACGAACTTCAAATTTTCCTAACTACCCAAGGTATGTCATACTCGCTGCGATAATGCAATCATACGCTAATCATTTAATCATACAGATGTCCAAAAACAGTGATCTCCCCCCGTTAACCCCCACGAGCAGATATTTGGAAAATTGCCCGAATGATGCTTACAGTCGGGAGTGCTTGGGCTTCCAGCCCTCCTCTTGAGCAATAAGCTCAGCTGCACGCTCACCAACAGCAAGCACAGTCACCATAGGGTTGATTGTTGGCATCTCGGGGAAGATACCAGCATCAACAATGCGGAGCTTGCTGATTCCACGAACCTTGAGCTCGGGGTCAACAACCGCCATCTCATCGCGCTCAACGTCACCCATCTTAGTGGTACCGGCAGGGTGGTACACTGTGTGAGCAACTCGGCGAGCATATTCGCTGATCTCCTCATCCGTTTGGATCTTGGGACCAGGGGCAACTTCTCCTTTGAGCCAGTCCTTGAAGGGGCTCTGCTGCGCAATCTTTCGGGCAGCCTTGATGCCATAGACCAGGGTGGCAGCGTCGTAACCCTCAGGGTCTGTGAAGTAACGGAAATCGAGAGCAGGCTTGACAGTAGGGTCGGCTGAGGTCAAGTAGATGCGGCCACGTGAGCGAGGACGGGGAATGTTGGGTGTCATGCAGAAGGCATAACCGTCCTTGATGATAGGATACCCTAGACGCTCTGTGTTGAGGTGGAAGGGAATCTGGTAGCAGTGCATCATGACATCAGCAGCATCGCCATCGTTACCAGCAGCGTTCTTGGGCTCTCGTCGCAGGAAAATACCAGCATCGGAATCCATGGTGGTCTGATTAGCAGGAACGGGCTTGTTGAGCTCCCACATAATAATGGTCTCGGGGTGGTCCAGGAGGTTCTCGCCGACACCTGGAATGTCCTTGACAACAGGAATCTTCAGGTCTTCAAGCTGGCCCTTGGGTCCAATACCAGAGTGAAGGAGAAGCCTGGGGGTATCGACAGCACCAGCAGACAAGATGATCTCCTTGCGGGCGTTCAGAGTATGCTTCTCGCCTGACTTGAGAGTGACAT